AGACGAAATTAAAGAACTTCGAAATAATAACCATATTGTACACTATTTACAATTAAATTGCGAAAAAAATAAACAGATCCTAAAAGAAAGGGATATGAAAGTGTACGCAAGTAAGACGAAAGTTATGTTTTTTGAAAGAGAAGAAAGTAAAACGGTATGTGAAATAAAAATACAAGGGGAGTTGATCGAGCAAGTAGATGAGTTTGTATATTTAGGTTGCGTATTTAGCAGGGATGGGAGATGTGATAAGGATATAGAACGACGAGTAAATGCAGGAAATAGAGTAAATGGGGCCATACACACTATTGTGATGAGTCAAAATGTGTTGAAAAAGGCACGTATGACAATTCACAATGCTGTGTTGGTCCCAACTTTAACGTATGGTAGTGAAAGTTGGGTGTGGCAGAAGAAGCACGACAGTAGAATGAACGCAGTAGAAATGCGGTCGTTAAGGAGTATGTTAGGGCTGAATCTGAATGACAGGGTGAGAAATTGAGTGATAAGAGAAGAGTGTGGTTTGCAAGATGGTGTTGTGACCAGGATTAAAGAAAGGAATGCTTTGGTGGTTTGGTCATGTGGAAAGAATGAATGAGGAAAGAGTGACAAAGAAAATTTATGTTGCAGAAGTGAATGGCAGAGTCGGAAAGGGACGTCCTAGGCGAAAATTTATCGATATAATTGACGATTTATTGAAAACAGGCCAAATTATATATATGTGTATGTATGTATATATCTATACACATTAAACAGATATATTATACGAAATATAGATCTCCTTAATTTGTTTCGTATGCTGGGAGCCGGAATTCCTTTATACTGGAAACGAGACATTTTAGATGTAAAGAGGACAGGAGAACTGCTCGCACGTCACCCTTATTTAAACAAAAAAAAAAGATATACGTTGATGGATTCTTTAAGCTGCTACCACACAGCCTTTTTGTATAAAGAAATAAAGAATAAATATAAAAAACGAATTATCATTTTCGAAGCGCTTTTAGAAAACTGAGGCAATATTTTGGTTTTTAAATTTTTCTGAATGATCGTACATTTCTACGTTGATATTCGTAAAATGACGCAGAGTTGGCAGCGCTGAAGTGAAATGAAGTCATGCGCGAAAATCTTACTCCCTGTAGAGCTGCACTTGCTAATTGGATTAAAATTGGACTAGCGATCTATCTTTTGCACATGTCGCGGTGTAGTATAGGTTAAAGTTGCTTTTTTCTTTTTAAATATGCAAAAAAATATCTTATTTTAATTCTTGACAATGGACCGGCCATAGCTCGAAGAACCGACAACCGATGAGGAAAAGACGTTCTCGAGTGGCAGCCTCGTACCGGTAGGTATAGTGTAGGACGACCCCCCACTAGATGGAGTGACGACCTGGTAAGGTATGCAGGAAGTCGATGGATGCAGGTAGCGCAGGACCGTGCGTTGTGGCATTCCTTGGGGGAGGCCTATGTTCAGCAGTGGACTTGTGAACGGCTGTAATGATGCCTTTTAACTTTTTTTTATAGAAGAGGGGGCAAACGAGCATGCGGCTCACCTGATGTTAAGTGACTACCGCCGCCCATGATCAACCGCAACACCAGGGGAATTGCAGGTGCGTGCAGGTGTTTTTCAATTTGTGAATGAGCTGAGTCCCCTTCGTTTTGGGTATGTCTTTAATTAAATACTTGTTTGTAATTCCACAATTACCTGAATAGAATATGACATCAATGTCTGCGCCATGTTTATGCGTCGCTTCCAAGTGGGTACCTGTAAACGCAAGTCGCAATTTCGTTGACATCTCTTTTTGCTTTAGATTCGTCCCATACACATAATTCCACGATATTTGTGAGCAGATCATAAATTGTAAAGAATCATGCCCACTTTACATACAGTAGCCGGTTGACCGAGCTTTTGCTCGGTATTTTTCGCTCGGTTTTTTTTTAATTCGTGTGTTTTGGAAATTATATTTAGATACAAATTACATACTGACGAAATACTAATGATATTTTTTGATCTTAGCGACATAATAGAAAAAACTGAAATGGTGATTTGAATAAAAAATCATGAGTGCAATTAGTTTAATTAAAATTTTCGTGTTTTTAAAAATACTAAAAAAGGGCTCGAAAAAAATAGATTTTCTCAAATAAGAAAGGAACTAGAAAAAAAATAACAAAAAGTCGGTCGGTCGGTCTGGGCTCGAACCATGGGTATTACGATTTTGTGACCGCCCAATATACCAATTAAGCTTATTCTAACGATATTGTAGCAGTTTTTCATTGCCTAAAAACACGGACAAAAAGACATTTTCTAAAAAATAAATCCTAGCTAGATCGATTTATTGCCCCCGAAACTCCCTACACACAAAATTTTATGAAAATCGTTGGAGCCGTTTCCGAGATTCCGATTATATTACACAATATGTAACGTAATTAACGCACACCCTCAGACACCCCAATTAGTATATTATGTTATAATCATAATACATACACTGAATTTTTAGTTAAACATTTTTATGCACTGATTATTTATCAAATTAGTTGTACTAATTCCGGAAGAATGTTGTGGTCACAATACAAATCCACGAACGCAAAGACTTTAACGTGCTTGAAATAAAGTTCATTTTTTCTTTATTTTTATTGAATGACAGAATTAGTAATAATACAAATAAAACTGCACTCTTAAAAGTCTTATTGCCTTAAGTTACGGTCTATTTCAGTTTGTTTTGACTGTACAGGTTTAGTGCCACTGTAATTTACGTAGTTTTAATTATTTTTGGGATAAAAAATTACCTACATTAAAAATGATAGGAATCGATTCAGTAAACGATTCTGAACAAACTACTTTCTCAAAGTGCGTTAATTATGTTACATGTTGTATATATATATATATATATATATATATATATATATATATATATATATATATATATATATATATATATACAAGAATTGCTCGTTTAAAGGTATAGGATTGATTGTCCTGTCACTTGATTCCTTTAACAGGTCGCGTCTACCTATAACCACTGTTGTATAAAAACAGTAATTTTTTATAATAACATAATCACTTATCATCTTTTCATTTAGAGGCCAAGGAAAATGTTACTAAGTAAATAAAATTTTTAGGTTATAGCGGCTGTCAGATAAGGTCTATACACTTATTTTTTCTTTCCTCAACATAGTATAAAACCATTAAAAATCGTATCTAATCATAAATTAATAAGTTATAAAAAAGAAATCGGTTATTTTGAACATTCATAAACCACATGATGAATGAATAAGTTTTTCGTAATCTGAAACGGAACGTGAAGAACACGTTTTTTTAATTTCAATAGCCTCGCGAATCATCCTTGGAAGGGATCGGTGTTCTTTAGCGAGGATTTGTGGTCTATCAAATCTGATATAGTGACGGGGGCGATCCTGTACGTAGAGAATGGGCGATCCTGTAATAGAGAAGATGGCTGGGTGCTACCATCTGCTTGGGATCCTATAATAAATAAAATTAAATCCCAACCCAAGCATACAACTGCAAGACTTCATGATATCATAAGTTCTTACTGTGTAGATCGGAACAAAAAGTTATATTTTAATCTATGGTAACCGCGGTTAACTATGACATCTGGACGTTAAATATCTCAGTCCTTCCCGTGACCATGGGTGCTGTAAAGCTCTCGAAACGTCGGGTATTTAAAAAAGTTAAATATACCCGATAAATTCCGTAAAATCTAGTATTATTTCAACGTTTTTAATATATTTTGGCGTAGCTTCTGGGCCCTTGAGCCATTGTAAAGCACATTCCGTCTCCAAAAGTCTATTGAGAATGATAAACAAAGTAACATTACTTTTTTTTCCTGGCTTTATTTGAAAATTCAATTATGCGATACGAAATAAGATAAAAGGTATGCAATTTTATAAGATATTTTACATCACTAGATGCGTTAGAAAATTTTCAGGTGGACATGGACATGATTCTTTAGCGTTACGTTAGTAGTAGTTAGTACGTTAGTACGCTTAGCTTACACAAGTAATAAAAAACGGAGATTTCTCCTTTCGGGCACTGATGCACTGCTTGTAAATCGTACACAGCCACTTTAACATTCTTGTTAGCCTTGTCTTTTCTTTTCGGCACGTGATAGTTATTTTTTTTTCTGATGTTTGGCATTACTTTCTTTAAGTGTTTTTTTTTCTCGCTATTACTATTTTTAAACGCTTCAAATGTTTCGCACAGATCTTTCTTCGGTATAACGAATGATATGTTGAAGTCATGTGTAAAAATGCGGTAAAACATTATATGATTTCCATAAGAAGCATTATTTTTTACACACGTAATCCTTGTGAAGGTCAGCCACACTGTTTTTTTTTTCGTCTATATAATGTCTTTTTGAGTGGGATCTTTTAAAATGAGATACAATTTTGGATATGGATTTAAATTTTTTATGCCTTTTTTTATTTTTTTTTATCAACTTTACGTTGTTTACCATGGCATCTTCGATTGTCTTTCATGTCGGTCATGTTGGTCATTGTAGTCTTATTTTTCTTCTTTATAGCTGTATCTACTGGTCGACTATTTATCCCTAACGTATTTTGGAAAAAAGAGCTTGCATACTCAGATTTTTGTAACAGAAACAGAAAAGTAACAGCTTTGTTATTATTTCACTTAGATTCAGAGCAGTTTCCATCAGCATGAACTCTAATAAAACGATGTTTTGGCGTCACATCTTTCACAGAATTTGCAATAAAACTCCATTGTTTTTGAATACTTACAGCTACAGCTGTTGACTTTCAGTTATATTTGTTCCAAATTTGAACTTACATGTATCTTTACAGGGTTCCTTCAAATGACGTTCTGATAAAGTTCTTCTTCTTTTGCTTGTCTGGTATTCTTTTCTACTAATTCGTAATCTTTTAGCGATGTTTCTTTTCCAGCCTTCTTTATTTATATGTTTCTTTCTTCCTCTTTTTGATGGAGTTAGAGTATTTTCCGAAGTTGCAGATGTAGGCGCATCTAGTATTACGTTATTGTCTGATATAATGAAGATTCTGATGTCCTTTTTGGAACTGTATACGTTGACCTTCTGGCGGCAAGTATCTCTCTTCATCAGAACTACTCTCAATTTGTACGTTACGTTGTCCTATAATGTTATAATTTGGGACTTTAACCGAATCATCAGAGTCTGAGAGGAAAAGTGCATTGCTGATTATCATTTTTGTAGTAATAGTAAGAAAATATAAGCAAAATACATTCATAAAATAATGTACCTGATGATAACTAACTGCTGCTTTGGCGAATTCATCGTAACCGCCATAAAGGAAGAAGAAGAAGAATTGCTGCCGGAGAAGATGCTCGAAGATTTAACCAAAATTCGCTGAGATATTCTAGCGTCATTCCCTAGTTCATCTTTATCTGAAAATAAGTTTAATTTCTCACAATGTTTTCTTAATTTTTAAATAATTTAGACAGAACTCACTATGTCATCCCCGTAATTCCACCAACTGTTACAAATACCTACCAACGTAAATAAATAATTACGTGTTTACTTTACATTAGATAGGTATTGTTTTAAATTGTACACTTGTGCAGTATCTATATCTTCTTAACATAGTCAGCCTAATCCACAGGAAAGGAAAGGTCAAAAGACCAACAAAATATTCGTTATCTGCCTTATACCTCATTATTTGTACACTTAAAAACACTTCCAAAGCCCTAAGGAAACTAATAAGCAATGACCTATAGTTGTTGACTCTATCTTACCAGGTTGTACGTTTTCTTTATTAATATTCTCTTTTTTCAGCTCCATTTTCATTAATTACGGCCATTAGTTTCTTGAACCGCGACCACATCCGCCAACAAAAATAAGATCATATTGTTTTTCCGTTTATCATAAATAACGTGACAGTACGGATATCATTAGCACTTAATAAGTTATTTATTCAAAACAATCTATATATATATATATATATATATATATATATATATATATATATATATATATATATATTGAAGTTACAACGTTCAATTTATATTACAAAAATTATAATAAAGAACTTAAATAAAATAATAATTAAAATTATAATATTTACGATTAAAACTAATTATATACAATATAAAAAGAAGTAACTATAATATAGAAAATTAAAAACTAAAAATTTAAATCGTCAAAAAGACCTGCTCCCCGTGGTATAGTGCCAAGAACGCTGGCTGCGTTTCCTCGCTGAATAGCTATATTTAGCCTTTGAGCGAGGAAAGAACCAGCCCTATTATCACCAGCATCGACGACCAGTCGTGGATACAGTTCATTTAGAAACTTCATTGCACGTGGACCCCACGAACCGATAGTCTCTACAGCAAATTATGTAGTCGTAGGCATAAATATATAGTCATTTCTCAAAGACTCATATTTGCGCCATTTACTAAATTCGGCTGTCTCTGATGCCGCCCCGGCTCTAAAAGAAGTACCCTTGAGATGAGAGGCCGCCAAAGTGTCAACGCAAGTAGCATCCCACACTAGGGATTTACCTCTCTATACCAGATCACTCACATTATACATTCTATTTAAGAGGAAATATAATCTCAAATGGCTTAGCAAGATCCTTCGTTATGCCGAAAATATCGATTGTTGGGTCGATTGTTAAGTCCATTGTTGGGTCGATTGTTGGGTCGATTGTTGGGTCAATTGTTGGGTCGATTATCAGGTCGATTGTCAGGTCGCTTGTTGGGTCGATTGTTGGGTCGATTGTTGGGTCAATTGTTGGGTCGATTATCAGGTCGATTGTCAGGTCGCTTGTTGGGTAGATTGTTGGGTCGATTGTTGGGTCAATTGTTGGGTCGATTATCAGGTCGATTGTCAGGTCGCTTGTTGGGTCGATTGTTGGGTCGATTGTTGGGTTAATTGTTGGGTCTATTGTTGCGTCTATTGTTGGGTCGATTGTTGGGTCGATTGTTGGGTCGTTTTTTGGGTCGATTGTTGGGTCGATTGTTGGGTCGATTTTTGGGTCGATTGTTGGGTCGATTGTTGGGTCAATTGTTGGGTCGATTGTTAGGTCGATTGTCGATTGTTGGGTCGCTTGTTGGGTCGATTTTTGGGTCGATTGTTGGGTCGTTTGTTGGGTCAATTGTTGGGTCGATTGTTTAATCGATTGTTGGGTCGATTGTTGGGTCGATTGTTTGGTCGATTGTTGGGTCTATTGTGGGGTCGATTGTTGGGTCGATTGTTGTTTCTATTATTGGGTCTATTGTTGAGTCGATTGATGGGTCGATTGTTGGGTCGTTTCTTGGGTCGATTGTTGGGTCATTTGATGGGTTGATTTTTTGGTCGATTGTTGGGTCGATTGTTGGGTTTGATTGTTGGGTTGATTGTTGGGTTCATTGTTGAGTCGATTGTTGGCTCGATTGTAGGGTCGATTATTGGTTCGATTGTTGGGTCGGTTGTTGGATCGATTGTTGGATCGATTAATGGATCGATTGTTGGATCGATAGTTGGGTCGATTGTTGAGTCGATTGTTGGGTTGATTGTTTGGGTTGATTATTGGGTTTATTGTTGGGTTGCTTGTTGGGTTGATTGTCGGGTTGATTGTTGGGTTCATTGTTGTGTCGATTGTTGGCTCGATTGTAGGGTCGATTATTGGTTCGATTGACGTGTCGATTGTTGGATCGATTGTTGGATCGAATAATGGGTCGATTGTTGGATCGATAGTTAGGTCGATTGTTGAGTCGATTGTTGGGCTGATTGTTGGATCGATTGTTGGATCGGTTAATGGGTCGATCGTTCGATCGATAGTTGGGTCGATTGATGAGTCGGTTGTTGTTTGAGTGGTTAATTGTTTGCGTTGATTATTGGGTTGATTGTTGGGTTGTTTGTCGGGTTGATCGTTGAGTTGATTGTTGGGTAGATTGTTCGGTCGATTGTTGGATCAATTGCTGGGACGATTAATGGGTCGATTGTTGGATCGAATGTTGGGTCGATTGTTAGGTCGATTGTTAGGTCGATTGTTGGGTTGATTGTTGGGTTGATTGTTGGGTTGATTGTTGGGTTGATCGTGTGGGTTGATTGTTGGGTTGATTTTTGGGTTGATTGTTGGGTTGATTGTTGGGTTGATTGTTGGGTTGACTGTTGGGTCGATTGTTGGGTCGATTGATGGGTCGATTGTTGAGAAGATTGTAGTCCTTTGTTGTTCTGTAACGTATAGGTCCCATGTTTATGTGGGATTTATTAGATAAATAATGTTCTGTGTTACTTGCTTGCGATGTATGTACTTGAAGGGCAACTAATTGGATATCACTTCTTTCACAGTTTTCTACCCATATTTTTTGGCTAAACGTGGTCCGAGTACCTCCCTTGTCTTTCACCTTTGCCTACCCACTTCGGGAATTGCAGCCGTGACGCTATTTAATGTAGTCCGCCGCGATGCTCCAGTGAGTGTTGTCAGACTTCACATGTCTTCAAGATATTTTTTAATGAGGCATGCAGCTTTCCTGACAATGTTTTTTGTTCCTTCACTGCTGAGTACATGATAAATTCCGTACAATTAGGGAGAGCACTTATAGCCCTTAAGGCACCAATGTGCTTGAGACCGATTTCTAATAAAAAAAATAATATTGTGCACATAAAAGTAATATCAATGTTACTATCCATTTTACTACTACAATCGCTCCTTGGTTCACAAGGGTTTCCTGCTACAGCACAGCAAGCACATCACATTTCCGACGACGTTTACTCTATTTGTTCTTTTGTTGCTTCGTTTAAAAATGTTTCTTTCTCAATTTTAAGGAAAAAAGGCTTTAACTATTTTATGTTCACAGTTTAACAAAAAAAAAGGAACTAAAAAGAATCAAATATTTTCCACTTAATACTTTCAGAAGTTGATACCTAGATATAGTGCATAGATATGTGTAGAAAAATTAAAGCCAATACTTGTTCTTGACTTCACATTTTATAAACCTTTTGAGAAGACTAAGTCTATAATATAGACTTTAGTCCTTAGACCATAATAAGCTCAAGGTAAAAACTGGAATGTCGTTTTAATAGTTATATTAACTCACTCCATCTAGTGGGGGCCGCCCATTATTTTGTCTACGGGCACGGTAGCGGTGAAATATTTACATTATAGTAACTTCGTCGTTAGTGCAAGTACACCACAGAGCACCTTGGTATAAAAAGTACACCAACACTAACGAACAAACATTTATTTTGACGTACGTTTGTATCGATATTGTGTCCTTTGATAAAATAAATCAATGCAAAAAAAAAAATAAATGCGCAAAATAAATCAACTGATTAAGACAGGCAGTACAACGTTTGTTTTTTCGTTGGGGATTATTTATTTATTTCATCTTTAATTGATACACCTTAATAAGTGGGGTAACAAAAGTACCTATCGGTATTCTCTGCCAGTTACCCGCGGCCCTCAGCACCGCAACTCAATGCTGTCACTTGTTCCGTGCGGGGTTCGAACCCGCGGCCCTCAGCAACGCAACTCTGTGCTGTCACTACGCCGCGGAACCGTCAAATAATAATATATATTTCAGATTCATAACTATGAATAAAACTAATATTAAGGATTTCTTTACAATTTATCGGATATTAATTAAACGGAATAAAATTCTTAAAATTAATTATATTGAATGTCAACCATTTGTGTTAATTTAGGATCACAAATATTCGTTACTATAAAAACACATAAAAAACCTCAGACCCATACCCCAGACGGCCGCCGTCTTTGCATCGGATACGATAGACCAAAATATTGTTATCAAAGGCAATATTAAAACGTTGCCATAAATAACAAAACTGTTTCCCCACATTTTTGTATCATAAACATAAAAAATGTTTACATAGGTAAATAAAATCTTGGAAAATGATCTTAGTCAGGAGGAAATATTTCCTGCCGGTACACGACCGCAGTCACAATATAGGTACATGTATATTGCTAGTTAGTTATATACGTGCAGTTTATGTTCCTTGTATCTCGAAGAAATGTGTTCTGGGAGATATTTTGTGTTCTCACAACATCTTCTCCTCTCACACTTTGTAACGTATTTTTAAGATTGTTTTAAGTGTTGATTTACTACGTGATAAAAATAGCCGAGAAACCTACCTGTCAGACAAATAAAATTAGTTTATCGGAGACATGTGAAGTCCGCTAGCAAATCCAGCAGGCAGACATTTTCTTGATTCTGTCAGAAATGAGAGCATGAACCTACCCATAATCCCATTCCGTTCATTACTGTGAATGAAAATAGACTGATGAACAAACGCCTCCAGAGATTACCTCATAGAAGGGATTTTACCATAGTTGTCACACGCGGAAGGCGGATATTTTAGTTTGCAGTTTCTTTGAGTTGCCATCAGGAAGCTTCTACTGTCCATCTCCTGCTTCATTTTCTCTCTGTCACCTCAAAAGCCACCCACAGGATGATATGGGATAGTGCATATCCTTACACCGCCCTTACACGATTTCCATGTGCTCGGGATTAGAACTTGCATATAGGCTGTGACTTTAGTTTACTTTTGTAACATAATTACGCTGAGTTAAGAAATATATTGAAGAAGAAGCTGTTAAAGCCCTACTAAATAAGCTGTTATGAGAAAATTATTTAATTCTCTTTAGTCTCGTAACGTGATGAATGTTACTTAGACACTGATATTCAGATGCAGCAACAGGAAAAGCTTTGAACTGATCCTGTAGGAGTACCAGTATCGCGTCTAGTTGTACCATTCGAATGTAATAAGTTTTATTGTCTCTTTTGCCAGTAACAAACAAACACAACAATAGTTCTATGTTTACCGCCTTTTTTTTA